CCCTTTTGTTACTGAGATATTTCACTCAGTATAATGTCCTCCAGGGTCACCTATTTTGTATAATATTTCATGAATTCCTTGTTTTTCAACACGATTTTCTTTTAAAATGAAAGAAGAAGAATATTAATATAATTTATTTTAGAGTTACTAAGGTATTTTAAATGACAAAAGTCTTTGGATAAGCTTCAAGTAGCAGTTGTTGAATATAAACTAGTTTTGTTACTCCGGGAAAGGTGAGTGAGACACACTATCAAAAGCTTGTCTGTCTTTTCTTTTGTTTAATAATGACTCATAGGTTTCTTGGTTGTTAGCTTGAAAATTTTTTTGGTCTCATAGGAGTTATAGTTTGAGATCCTAACATACTTTATGGACATTGCTCTTCTTTTTTTCTTTTTAGTTTTTTGGGGTTTTTTAAATTAATTTCAATGAACATTTACAGAGATTTTGGATTTCCATTCATTCATTGTTTCACTTTTCTCCCTGCCTACCCCAACCCCACAGGAGCACTGATAATTATTTTGGGCTGAATATTCTGCTAAAAAGAAATGCAGTGATCACAACACAGTGACTATAATTAATGTCCCCGAAATCTACATTTAAGAATGGCTAAAATGGAAAATTTTTCTTTATTTCTATTTTACCACAATAAGGTGTTGGTGTGTCCCCCCCCGCCAAGATTAATACACTTAGGATTGAATCAGCTCAACATTAAGAAGATGAAGAGTCTCACCACTGGGCCAATTGGCAGTACCATGATAGATGGAAAAGAGATTGAGGTTGTTAACAGTTACAGCTTGCTGGGCTTCACAATCAACACTCTTGGCAACAACAGTCAGAAAAATCAAAAGACAAATTGCTTATGGAAAATCTGCTGTCAGGGACCTCTCCAGAGTAGTGAAAAGCAATGATGTCAGTCTAGAAACTAAAGTGTGCCTGATCCAGGCCATGGTCTTTGCAATTACTTGTAATGCATCAGAGAGCTGAACAATGACTATAAGGATAACAGAAAAAGAATTGATGCCTTTGAGTTGTGGTGCTGGAGAAGAGTCCTGAATAGACCATGGACTGCCAAAAAAACAAATAGGTCTGTCTTTGAGAGGGTAAAACCAAGTTTCTCCTTAGAGGGTAGGCTCAATCTCACATACTTTGGGCACATGGCCTGGAGAGACCAGTCCTTGGAGAGGGACCTCATATACTTGGAAGGATGGAGGGAGAGCACAGGAGAGGAAGACCTTGGATGAAATGGATTGATTCAATAACTGAGGCAATTGGGGTTGTTGTGTCGGGGTCAGTGAGACAAGATCAGGACAGGGCAAGCTTCAGAGCTGCTGTACATAGGGTCATTATGAATAGCAGATGACTCAATGGCACGTAACAACAACAGCAACAATGTAATATATGACCCAGTTATTAATTTTTATTAATTTTAAATTTTGAGGTTAATTTTAAATTCCTTTTACCAGAATTCAAGGCCATTGAACAAAATCATACTGGAGAGAAAATGCAAAGGGAAGTATTTCACAGCTCCACAGCTATTATGTAGTGTAAAAACTCTTGGTCCTTATTTTTGTCCTACATTTCCCTGTTACTGTTTAGTAGGTTATTATATCAGAATCCTTCATGGACTTATTTTCCTACCTGCATTCCTTTGGCCATGCCTGCAGATCATACTCTTGCAGACAACTGCAACTTCAGATTTGCAGATTTATGTGCTTTGGTCTGCAATGAAAGATTTAAAAAATTGAGACTATAACAAGAGGTACATGGGAACATGATGTATAGTAGTAATAATAATAGTAATAATTTAAAAATATTTATTGCTTTTGGTTAGGGGGCTCTGGTGATCTAGTGGATAAGAAGTTGTACTGCATTTCAGATACCAATTCCATTCTTCAACAAGATGGAAAAGGCAATCTCCAGTTTTATTTGGAATGGGAGAGGCCTCAAATAAGCAAAGCACTCTTTAAAGAGAGAAACAGGTAGGAGGCATCTCACTCCCTGATTTCAAATCCTGCTACACTGTGTGGTGGAAAAGACAGCATGTTACTGTTACAAT